GACCCTAGACAAAGGAAAAGTAAAACAATTTTGAGGCTGTATTTCAAAACTTTATTTGAGGATACAGAAACTTATAACCTTTTCACAAGCTTTACTCAGGTATAATTAACATATCTCAAAAATGACCCGCTGTAAATATAAAATTGAGAGCTTTAGTGAATTTGCAGAGTTGTATAACCATGAGCACAATCCAATTTTAGAACATTTTCATCACCCCTAAAAAAATCTCTCAGCTTCATTCACAATTACTCCTAATTCCTATCGACAGTAACCACAATTCTTCTATCTCTTAGATTATCCCCTTCTGGAAATTTCTTTTTTTTTTTTTTGAGACGGAGTCTCGCTCTGTTGCCCAGGCTGGAGTGCAGTGGCGCGATCTCGGCTCACTGCAAGCTCCGCCTCCCGGGTTCACGCCATTCTCCTGCCTCAGCCTCCCGAGTAGCTGGGACTACAGGCGCCCACAACCGCGCCCAGCTAATTTTTTGTATTTTTAGTAGAGATGGGGTTTCACCGTGGTCTCGATCTCCTGACCTTGTGATCCGCCCGCCTCGGCCTCCCAAAGTGCTGGGATTACAGGCGTGAGCCACCGCGCCCGGCCTGGAAATTTCATATAAACGGAATCATACAATATGTGGTCTTTTGTGTTTAACTTCTATCATTTAGCATATTTCAAAGTTCATCCATGTTGTTAACATGTATCAGTACTTAAGTTCTTTTTTTATTGCTGAAGAGTATCCCATTGTATGGAGAAAACAAATTTTGGTTATTCATTTACCAGTTGATGGACATTTTGGGCTATTACAGTGATACCATAAACATTATCATACAAGTCTTTGTATGACATGTTTTTATTTCTCTTGGGTATATAACTAGAGTAAAATTGCTGCATCATATGGTAAATTCATTTTTAACTTTTTAAGCAGCCACCTGTTTTTGCAAAGAGACCACCAATGCATATTGTCACCAGCAATATGTGAGGGTTCCAGTTTCTCTACGTCCTCCCAGTATTTGTTACTGTCTTTTTTTATTATAGCCTTCATAGTGGGTGTGAAGTGGTAGCTCACCACGGTTTCAATTTGCATTTTCCTGATGATTAATGATGTTGAGCATCTTTTTATGTGCTTATCAGCCATTGTATATCCTCTTTGGAGAGATATCTATTCAAATCCTTTGCCCATTTAAACAACTGGATTATCTTTTTATTGTTGGGTTATAATAGTTCTTTATATATTCTGGATACTAGACCTTTATCAGATACATGATTTGCAAATATTTTCTCACATTCTTTGGGTTATCTTTTCATTTTCTTCATAGTGTCCTTTGAAGCACAAAAGTTTTTAATTTTGATGAAGTGAAAACTCACTCTATTATCAATTTATTCTTTCATGGACTGTGTGTTTGGTGGTGTAGCTAATATTTGCCTACCCCAAGGTCACTAAGATTTCCCCCCATGTTCTCTCTGAAACATTATAGTTTAGGCTCTTATTTAGGATTAACACCCTTCTAAAAACAGTATAGTAAAACATATAACATTAAATTGAGCATTTTAACTATTTTAAAGTATACAGTTCAGGTGCATTAAGGACATTCATGCTGCTATGCAACCATCACCACTATTCATCTCCAGAGCTTTTTCATCATCCCCAACTGAAACTGTACCATTAAACAATAACACCCCAGTCTCCCTACCCTCAGAAAACCACATTCTACTTTCTGTCTGATTTTGAAGTACCACATATTAGTGGAATCATACAGTTTTTGTCCTTTTTTTTTTCCTTTTCCAAGCCAGAGTTTCACTCTTGTTGCTCAGGCTATAGTGCAATGGCATGATCTCAGCACACTGCAACCTCCGACTCCCAGGTTCAAGCGATTCTCCTGCCTCAGCCTCCGGAGTAGCTGGGATTACAGGTGTGTGCCACCACGCCTGGCTAATTTTTTCATATTTTTAGTAGTGATGGGGATTCACCATGTTGGCCAGGCTGGTCTCAACTGACCTAAGGTGATCCACCTGCCTCGGCCTCCCAAAGTGCTGGGATTACAGGCATGAAGCCACTGCGCCTGGCCTCAGTTTTTGTCTTTTTGTGACTAACTTATTTCACTTAGCATGTCCTCAAGGTGAGTGGATGTTAATAGCATGTGTCAGAATTTCCTATCTTTTTATCTGCAGGACTAGGTCTAAGAAAAAAATTTTTTTTCTTCCTTTTAAGGCTAAAATAACATTTCATTGTGTGTATATACCACATGTTATATATTCATTTGTCAAAGGACATAGGGTTATTTCCAAAGCTATTGTGAGTAATGCTGCTATGAACATCGGTGTCCAAGTCTCTGAGTTCCTATTTTCAATTCTTTTGAATATATAGCAGGAAATGGAAGTGTCAGATCACATGGTCATTCTGTGTTTAATTTTTTGAGGAATGACCACACTGTTATCTATTTTAATTTTTACATGTGGTGTATAGTAAGGGTCTAAAGTTATTGTTTTGCATTTGGAAATTCACCTACATCAGCACAATTTATTGAAAAGACCATTCTTTCCCTCATTAAATTGCCTTGTCAACCAGGTTTGGTGGCTCACATCTGTAATCCTAATACTTTGGGAAGGTTGAGTTGGGAGGATCACCTGAGGCCAGGAGTTCGAGACCAGCCTGGGCAACACAGCGAGACCATGTGTATTTGCAAAAAATTTAAAATTTAAAAAAATCGCCCCTTACCTTTGTCAAAAATCAAGTGACCATAAAGGTTTCATTTCTGAACTCTCCATGTTTATCCTTATGCCATCACCATATTGTCTTGGTTATTGTAGCTTTATAATAAGTTTTTAAACCAAAAAGTCTAAAATCTCAAATTTTCTTTTTTTTCCAGACATTTCAGCTATTCTGGGTCCTTTGCATTCCCATATGTTATATCCCATAAATGTGATTATTTTGTAAATTTCTGCAAAAAAAAACGCTTGCTGGAATTTTGATCAGGATTGTGTTGAATCTGTAGATAAATCTGAGGAGAACTCAGTCTGGTGTCTTGAGATAGACTCCACCCAGGCTGGAGTGCAGTGGCACAATCTCAGATTACTGCAACCTGTCTCCCTGGTTCAAGTGATTCTCCTTCCTCACCCTCCCAAGTAGCTCGGACTACAGGCAGTATGCCACCATGTCTGGCTAATTTTTGTATTTTTAGTAGAGACAGGGTTTTGCCATGCTGGTCAGGCTGGTCTTGAACTCCTGACCTCGGGTAATCCGCCCACCTTGGCCTCCCAAAGTGTTGGGATTAAGGTGTGCGCCCCTGTACCTGGCCAAGAATGCCATTTTAATAATATTGAGTTTTCCCATCCATGATATGGAATGTTTCTCTTTATGTAAATCTTCCATTTTTCTCAGCAATGTTTTAAGAGTTTTTGCTGTACAAATCTTACATTCCTTTTGTTAAATTTATTCCTAAGTATTTTATTCTTTTTCATGCTGCTGTGAAGTTTTTTTTTTTTTAAGCTTGACTTTTGAATTGTTATGGTCTAGTATATAGAAATACAATGTATTTTTGTATATTGATACTGTATTCTGCAACTTTCCTGAACCAGTTTATTTAGTTCTAGTTTTTCTTGTAGGATTTTCTACATATAGCACCATGTCATCAGTAAATAGTTTTCCTTCTTCTATTCCAATCTGGATGCCACTTATTTCATTTGCTTGTCTGACTACACTGTCCACAATCTTCGGTACATTACTGAATGTAAATAGTGAAAGTGGGCATCCTTGCCTTGTTACTGACTTAAGGGGGAAAAGCATTCAGAATTTCACCATTAAGGCTGGGTGCAGTGGCTCATACCTGTAATCCCAGCACTTTTGGGAGGCCAAGGCAGGCAGATCACTTGAGGTCAGGAGTTTGAGACCAGCCTGGCCAACATGGAGAAACCCTGTCTCCTCTAAAAATACAAAAATTAGCTGGGCGTGGTGGCACACGCCTGTAGTACCAGCTATTCGGGAGGCTGAGGCAGGAGAGTCACTTGAACCCGAGAGGTGGAAGTTGCAGTGAGACAAGATACCACCACTGCATTCCAGTCTGGGCAACAGAGAATTTTCACCATTTAGTATGATGCTACCTGTAGGTATTTCACAGATGCCCTTTAGTAGGACCTCTGATACATGTTATATTCATTATTGAGAGTGAGATATTGAAGCCTGTATCCATTACTGAAAATGAAAAACTGGTCCCCTACTATTATTGTTGAGTTGTCTATTTCCCCCTTTAATTCAGTTTTTGTTTTGTGTATTTTGGGGCTTTGTTGTTAGGCGTGTGTGTATATGTTTACAACTGTTATATCTTCCTGACAAACTGACCTTTTAATTATAAAATGTTCCTCTTTGTATATAATGTGTTTGTCTTAAAGTGTACTTTATCTGATAATAGTATAGCCACTCAGGGTCTCTTATGGTTACTATTTGCATGCAATATCTTTTTCCATTCTTTTACTTTCTAAAGGGTTTCTCTGGAAGAAAACATATAGTTGGATTTTTTTTTTTTTTAATCCAGTCTGAGAGCAACTGTAAAGAATGCCTTTTCCTGGCCAGGTGTGGTGGCTCACGCCTGTAATCTCAGCACTTTGGAAGGTCAAGGGAGGTGGATCACCTGAGGTCAGGAGTCCAAGACCAGCCTGGCCAACATGGTGAAACCCCATCTCTACTAAAAATACAAAAAATTAGCTGGGCGTAGTGGCGGGCACCTGTAATCTCAGCTACTAGGGAGGCTGAACCCAGGAGGTGGAGGTTGCAGTGAGCTGAGATCACGCCATTGCGCTCTAGCCTGGGTGACAAGAGCGAGGCTCCATCTGGAAAAAAAAACAAAACAAAACACCTTTTTCTACTAAGGAAGTCATTCTTTTGAACCACACATATAACTTTGGGAAGTGGGGTTATAGAAGAAACACTCTTCGGCCAAACTAACCCGGGCAGTCACTACTTTGATAAGTGTAGCCATATTCCCTCTTATCTAAACCAGTAACCTACCTCTCAGCCACTGCCAGCAGTCGTTCTGGCCTAAAGGTACCCTCGGTGTCAATGTACATGGCCTTTCCTTCACCTCCACCCCGGTCAATGGGAAGCTATAGAGAACAAAAACAACAGTGGAAATGAACATTGTATTTCTGATATAGCTGACCAAGTTTCTCATGACATCTTTATAATTCCTCCAAGGCAAAGGGGAAACAACACTTAAGAATGACAGTGGTAGGAAGGCAGCATTCCCTTCTGATATTAATAGCAATACAGCTAGAAAAACATGTAAAGCTGATTGTGTCTCAGTACATACAGCTAGTCTTGTCAGAACTGGACTGCTTAGAAATACAGCCCAAAGTAGGTAATTATTTTCTTCTCTCTTTTTTTATTGCGATGGAGTCTCACTCTGTCGCCCAGGCTGGAGTGCAGTGGCGTTATCTTGGTTCACGGCAACCTCCACCTCCTGGGTTCAAGCAATTCTCCTGCCTCAGCCTCCCGAGTAGCTGAGATTAAAGGCGTATGCCACCATGCCCAGCTAATTTTTGTATTATTAGTAGAAACAGGGTTTTACCAAGTTGGCTAGGCTGGTCTTGAACTCCCAACCTCAGATGATCTGCCTGCCTTGGCCTCCCAAAGTGCTGGGATTCTAGGCACGAGCCATTGCACCTGGCCTTTTTTTGTTTTGGAGGTAAGATCTCACTCTGCCGCCCAGGCTGCAGTGCAGTGACACAATCTTGAACTCCTGAGCACAGGAGACCCACCCACCTCAGCCTCCCAAAGTGCTGGGATTACAGGCGTGAGCCACCGTGCAACCTCTGCATTACAGGCTCAGGTGATCCTCTCATCTCAGCCTCCCGAATAGCTAAGACCATAGATGTGCACCACCACACCCGTTAAATTTTTTTGTAGACAGGGTTTTGCCACATTGCCCAAACTGGTCTTAAACTCCTGGATTCAAGTAATCTGCCTGACTCAGCCTCTTAAAGTGCTGGGATAACAGGCATGAGCCACCACACCTGGCCAGTAATAAAATTCTGTAACTGCATGCCAACACGAGACTGATCAATTCAAAAGCACAAAAACTTGGAAGACCATTTACCTTAGCTTTAATCAATAACGGGCCATGATCCAAAGCCCAGTTAATCTTAGCATGTCTAAATCAAACTTACACTTCACTTTATTGAGCAATTCATTCTTCAGGGGTACTAAAGGGGCTTGTCAATGCCCTCGGAGCGTCCACAGCAAATTTCAAGTGTGAGCAAGAAAGAAAAAAACATATTTGCTCCAATAGTATAAACAAGATATTTAAAATGAATAATTGTTAATCCAATCTGTCACTGATGGACATTTGGGTTGATTCCAAGTCTTTGCTATTGTGAATAGTGCTGCAATAAACATACGTGTGCATGTGTCTTTATAGCAGCATAATTTGTAATCTTTGGGTATATACCAGTAATGGATGCTGGGTCATATGTACATCTAGTCTAGATCTTGAGGAATCGCATACTGTTCCATCATTCTTAGCAAACTATCACAAGAACAGAAAAAAACCGCATGTTCTCACTCATAGGTGGAATGAACAATGAGATACTCGGACTAGAAGGAACATCACACCGGCTATCATGGGAGGGGGAGGGGGAGGATTGCATTGGAGTATACTGATGTAAATGACGAGTTGATGGTGCAGCAGAGCAACATGGACAAGTATACATATGTAAAAACTCACGTAGCAAGTACCTACAACTTAAAGTAAATAAAAAAAAATTAAAAAAAAAAAAAAAAAAAAAAAAAAAAAAAAAAAAAATGAATAATTGGAGAAAACAGAAAAATAAGTAGTAGAATTTTGAAAAGAAATCAAAAAGGAAAGAAAAGAGAAGTAAATGAAATGCCATGAAAACTGTCTCATGAGCCCCTCAAGGAAATCTCTGCTTTAGGCTACCCATCCCATACCAGATACCTTTGAATTTTTCTACAAAGTTTAAGTGAATGATGCTAAAGGCTAATTTCCACTCTAGAAATCTACTTTGGAGTCATAATTCACCTTTAAATTCTGAGGAAAATCCCTTAGAACATTTTACGTTAAAGTTCTAGGAGAACCAAATTTTTTCTTTCTTTTTTTTTTTTTTTTTGAGACGGAGTTTTGCTTTTGTTGCCCAGGCTGGAGTGCAATGGCACGATCTCAGCTCACCACAACCTCTGCCTCCCAGATTCAAGCAATGCTCCTCCCTCAGCCTCCCAAGTAGCTGGAATTTCAGGCACGCACCACCACGCCCGACTAATTTTGTATTTTTTAGTAGTGATGGGGTTTCTCCACATTGGTCAGGCTGGTCTCAAACTCCTGACCTCAGGTGATTCACCCACCTTGGCCTCCCACAGTGCTGGGATTATAGGCACGAGCCACTGCGCCTGGCCCAAATTTTTTCTTATCTTCGAGAATTTTTTTTGAAATTACAAAACAAGTATGTGCTTATATTAAAAATCCAAACAACATAGAAGTAGAGGGCCGGACATGGTGGCTCACACCTGTAATCCCAGCAGTTTGGGAGGCCAAGGCGAGTGGATCACTTGAGGTCAGGAGTTTGAGACCAGCCTGGCCAACGTGGTGAAACCCTGTCTCTACTAAAAATACAAAAATTAGCCGGGCATGGTGGTGCACACCTGTAATCCCAGCTACTCAGGAGGCTGCGGCACGAGAATTGCTTGAAACCAGGAGGCGGAGTGTACAGTGAGTGAGATCGTGCCATTGCACTCCAGCTTGGGTGACAGAGTAAGAATCTGTCTCAAAAAAAAAAAAAAAACAAAAAAAAAAAAAGTAGAGTAAAAACTGAAACCTTTTCAGCACTCTCCATCTCCCAGAAATAATTTCCCAGGTTATTTTCTATGCATTTTCATACACTTCTTTTACATAAGTGGTTCTTCCACTTAACTATGTGATTCTCAGAATATTCCTTCCTTTTCTGTAAAATGTAAATAAAACTGACCTTATGGGATTGTTTTAAAAACTAAATAAAATAATTCATGTAAAGTGTTTAGCATAGTACACTCTGAAGACATGATTTCCCCAACCTTGAGGGCACTGACTTTGGTGTATACAGTTATGGAAGGCTTTGTTTATTTGGTAAGGGAAAAATTATGCTACTATTTGGCAGATAAAATCTTTCACATGGGAATCCATGGAAGGAGCAAAGGACACATATACAACAAAAGAGGGTGGTGCCTAAAGAAAGATTTGGAACCAGTGGCCAAGAAGACAGAGAGCAGAAGCTGCCTCAGCTTCTTGGAGAGGAGGAAATATTAACACTCTGGGGGCTAAGTCCCCAGAAAATAAGATGAATGAAGTTTCCCTTACTCCTACCTCCAGGTAATATTAAGTGCTACTATGACAGGGGAATTTTTTCCAATTGAATAGACTTCCTTGGCAAAGGAAAGCCACAGATGATTGGGCATAGGTAGGCAGACTTATAACAGGATAGTGGACAAGCTCCCAGGGTAAGCTCAGGGGGATGGATTACATGCTCTGTTCTCCAGCTTATTTGGCCCTTTCCACTTTGCCCTCCCAGTGCCATCATAGCCATCTTCTATACACATCTTCTATTATTGGATTGGGATACCATCAGGTTAGCTCTTCTTAGGACCATAATTCAATACTTCTTCTCATAGTGATTCACTTTGTTTCTAACTTTTACCATTTACTGATGCTTTGGTATAAATTCTTTGTACATTTATCTTTGCGTATATGTGAAATGTCCTGTAAGACAAATTTTCTGTCAAAGGGTATGTGATTTTTTTTTTTTTTTTGAGACGGAGTCTTGCTCTGTCACCCAGGCTGGAGTGCAGTGGCACAATCTCAGCTCACTGCAACCTCTGCCTCCCGCGTTCAAGCAATTCTCTGCCTCAGCCTCCCAAGTAGCTGGGATTATAGGCACCCACCACCCTGCCTGGCTAATTTTTGTATTTTTAGTAGAGACGAGGTTTCACCATCTTGGCCAGGATGTTCTTGAACTCCTGACGCCGTGATCCATCCGCCTCAGCCTCTCAAAGTGTTGGGATTATAGGCGTGAGCCACCACACCCAGCTGCACATGTGTTTTTAAAATTGGTACTTGTGTTAAATTGTCTTCTCAGAATTGTTTTTATTTTTATTTTTTAACTGAGATGGGGTCTCGCCATATTCCCCACACTCATCTGGAACTCCTGCCTCAGCCTCCCAAAGTGCTGGAATTAAAAGCATGAGCCACTATGCCTGGCCCAGTATTTTAAAATTACTGTAGTATTTTGGACAAGCATGGGCCAATTCACTTTGTAACCTAACTGTAGCTCTCAACTTTATGACTTTTCTATGACAGAGAGATCTAACACATAACGGGGTTTTACTTTTATTAAACTGATAAATTTGAACAAATGAGAGTAGATCATGTTTAGATTTAAGCAATAGTCTAACATCCTCTCTATATCCCTGGTTCCAACTCTCAGGCTAATGAAATGTAATCTTTTCTATTATTAATTAATTAGCATTCTTTTTCTTTAAAAATAAAAATCAACGATCTATATAGTTGTTCAGCCATCTGCAAATGTTATTTTAACAGGCTATGTTTTCTTGAGAATTTTGCTTTAGTTTATTGTTGACAGACATCATTTGACTACTTAATAAACATTCTCAGGCTAGGATTCTATTTGTACAACTTTGGAGCATCAGCATGCTATGCTGAGTTGCCATGGCAACTACAGATATTGTGTACTGTAGTCTAAGTATTTATTCTACAAAACTCCCTGTCAAAACAACATGGGAAAACATTTCTATTTAAAAAGGTCACACATCATGTGAAATGACGGATAAAAGAGTGACATTTTAAACAGCCCTAATTCCCTTTAGCTATCAAATTTCTAATGGAGCTCAGGCAATAGCTACAGCTTCTATAACTTACTCTTACTCTTCTCAATGTTTCCTCCCTTATTATCATAAAAGGTCTCCTAAGTATCCTCCTCCCCCCCACAACTCTTTCTTCCTAATGATTATAAGGATCTGGGTGCAGAGGCATTTGCCTGTAATCCCAGCTATGTGGGAGGCTGAGGTGGGAAGACTGCTTGCGCTCAGTACTTTGAGAACA